GCCAGGAGCTTGGGGAAGAAACTGGAGGAACTTGTCCTCCTGTTTAACACAAATAACTATGATGTCATAGGGATAACAGAGACCTGGTGGGACTCCACCCATGACTGGATCACAGGTATAGACTGCTATACCCTGTACAGGAGAGATCGAGTGGACAAAAGGGGCAGGGGTGTTGCTCTCTCTGTCAAGAAAAGCTACACGTCCCAGCAAGCCGACATTGGCACCCAGGGTGGACGACTGGAGACCCTCTGGGTTAAAATCCGTGGAGAACACGGCACAGGGGACACAATGGTGAGAGTCTACTACAGCCCTCCCTCCCAGGGTCAAAACCTTGACCAGGAGTTCGCCAGGGAATTGGCTGAGGCTGCACGCTCCCGGTGCACAGTTGTCATGGGAGACTTCAACTACCCAGACATCTCATGGGAAGAGCACTTGGTCAAATCTGAGAGGTTGCAAAGCTTTCCCTCATGCGTGGAGGAGCTCTATCTAATGCAAGAAGTCGATGGGCAGACGAGAGGTAAAGCACTGCTCAACCTGGTTCTGGCAATGGGGAACGACCTAATCAGCGACCTAACGATCGACGGGAAGCTGGGTAACAGTGACCATGAGCTGATCACCTTCACCATACGCCATAAAGCTGGCAAGTCAGTCAGCAACACTGAAGTCCTTGACTTCAGGAAAGCTGACTTTGACAAGCTCAGGAGGCTTGTCAGTGAGGCCCTAAAGGGCCACTACTCAAAAGGGCGGGGAGTTCAGGATGAGTGGTTGCTCCTCAAAGGTGCGATCCTGGAAGCACAAGCAAAGTCTATCCCGTCTCGGAGGAAAGGCAGCAAAAGGGCACAGCAGCCCCACTTGGCTCTCCAGGGAACTAGCAGACCTCCTGCATCTAAAAAGACAGACCTAAAAGGAAGGTGGACTGGATCCACCTCCAAGGAGGAATACTCTGCACTGGTCCGGTCCTGCAGGGAGCAAACCAGGAAACACAAGGCTGCAATGGAACACCAACCGGCTACAAATATCAAGGACAACAAAATGTCCTTTTTTAGATATGTGGGGAGCCGGAGGAAATGCAAGGGCAACACTGGACCCCTGCTAAACCAGATGGGACAACTAGCAACCCATGCCCAGGAAAAAGCCAACTCACTAAATGCGTACTTTGCATCGGTCTTTCATCAGTCCCACGGGACGCTCCTACCCACTACGGGACAGGGAGGCCTGGGTGAGGGAGATTCCTTGCCCTCCATCAATGCTGACCTCATGAAAGAACACCTTGAGAGGCTGGATACCTTCAAGTCAGCTGGCCCTGACAGTTTACACCCCAGGGTACTCAAGGAGCTGGCGAGCATCACAGCGCAGCCCAGCCCCTGGCATGAATCTTCGAGAACTCCTGGTGCTCTGGTGAAGTGCCCGAAGATTGAAAGAAGGCCAATGTGACGCCAATCTTCAAGAAACTGGGGAAAGTGGATCCGGCAAACTACAGGCCCATCAGCCTGACCTCTATCCCAGGGAAGGTCTTAGAAAAGATTATCAAAGGGGCCATTCTTAACAGGCTGGCTGATGGCAACATCCTGAGGGATAGCCAGCATGGGTTTGTTGCAGGTAGGTCTTGCTTGATCAATCTCATTTCCTTCTACAACCAGGTGACCGATCACCTGGACAAAGGAGAAGAGACTGATGTCGTATATGTTGACTTTAAAAAAGCCCTCGATCTGGTACCCCATGGTCACCTCTTAGTAAAACTGGCTAACTGCAGCCTCAGCCACACCACGATCCACTGGCTGGGCAATTGGCTCCGTGGTAGGACCCAGAGGGTGGTGGTTGACGGAAGTAATTTGTTGTGGTGTGCTGTGACCAGTGGGGTCCCCCCCGGGCTCTGCCCTTGGACCTATACTATTTAACATCTTCATTAATGATGTGGACATTGGTAACAGAAGCGGACTGGTCACCTTTGCTGATGACACCAAACTCTGGGGTAAAGCGTCCACACTGGAGGACAGGAGGGCGATCCAGGCTGACTTTGACAGGCTCAGGAAATGGGTGGACGAGAACCTGATGGTGTTTAACACTGAAAAATACAAGGTTCTCCACCTTGGGAAGAAAAACCTGCAGCATCCTTATACACTCAGCAGTGCTATGCTGGCTAGCACTAGGGATGAAAGGGACTTGGGCGTCATGATTGACCACAAGATGAACACGAGCCTGCAATGTGATACTGCTGCTAGTAAAGCAAGCAAAACGCTGGCTTGTATCCAGAGATGCTTCTCAAGTAAATCCCAGGACGTCATTCTCCCCTTGTACTTGGCCTTCATGAGGCTGCAGCTGGAGTACTGCGTCCAGTTTTGGGCTCCACAATTCAAAAAGGATGTGGAGAAGCTTGAGAGGGTGCAGAGGAGAGCCACACGCACGATCAGAGGGCAGGAAAGCAGAGCTTATGAAGAGAGGCTGAGAGCCCTGGGACTCTTCAGCCTGGAAAAGCGCAGGCTCAGAGGTGATCTGGTGGCCACCTATAAGTTTATCAGGGGTGCTCACCAGGATCTGGGGGAACGTCTGTTCACTGGGGGTCAAATGACCCCAGCAAGATGGTCATCCAGCCTCCTCTTAAAAACCCCCAGGGTGGGCGCCTGCACCACCTCACTTGGAAGCTGGTTCCAGACCCTAGCCGCCCTGACCGTGAAGTAGCGCCTCCTGATGTCCAACTTAAACCTTCCCTCCGCCAGCTTGTGACCGTTATTCCTGGTCACTCCTGGCGGCGCTCGGGGGAACAGGGACTCCCGCAGTGCCTGTTGATCCCCCCTGACTAGTTTATAGCAGGCCACAAGATTCCCCCCTCAGCCTTCTCTTCTGGAGGCTGAACAGGTTCAGGTCCCGTAACCTTTCCTTATAGGACCTGCCCTGCTGTCCCTTGATCATGCGAGTGGCCCTCCTCTGGACCCTCTCGATGCTGTCCACATCCCTCTTAAAGTGCGGTCCCAGAACTGGACGCAGTACTCCAGCTGCGGCCTGACCAGTGTCGCATAGAGGGGGAGGATCACCTCCTTGGTCCTGCTTGAAATGCATCTGTGGATGCACGACAAGGTACAGTTGGCCTTCCTAGCTGCCTCCCCACACTGCCGAGCCATGTTCATCTTGGAGTCAATAATGACTCCAAGATCCTTTTCCACCTCCGTGCTGAAAACAGGGGACTTCCCCAGTCTGTAGGTATGGTGCCGGTTGTTCCTCCGCAGGTGCATCACCTTGCACTTGTCTGTGTTGAACCCCATCCTGTTCTCCTCCGCCCATCCTTGTAACCTGTCAAGGTCCAAATGTAGCCTGTTGCTCCCTTCTATTGTGCCCACATCCCCCCACATCTTGGTATCATCAGCAAATTTGAACAGGGTGCTTTGCACCCCCTCATCCAAATCACTGATGAAGATGTTGAACAGGGCGGGCCCGAGGACCGAGCCCTGCGGGACCCCACTGCCCACGTCCTTCCAGGCCAAGAAGGACCCATCCACTACCACCCTCTGGGTGCGGCTCTCTAGCCAGTTGGCGACCCATTGGACTGTGTGGGTGTCTACACCACAGTCCCCCAGTTTCCTAATGAGAATGGGGTGAGAGACAGTGTCGAAAGCCTTCCGGAAGTCCAGGAAGACTATATCCACTGCTACCCCTGCATCCAATGATTTAGTGCCCTGATCATAGAAGGCCACCAGGTTGGTCTGACATGACCTGCCGCTGATGAACCCGTGCTGGTTGCCCCTGAGCATGCATTTCCCTGCTGGCCCCTCCTGGATGTGTGCCAGAATAATTTTCTCGAACAGCTTGCCCAGGATCGAGGTAAGACTGACTGGCCTATATTTCAGGCTGGACATAAGGAAGAACTTCTTTATTGTCTGAGCCCCCAAGGTTTGGAATAGACTGCCGCCAGATGGGGTTCAAGCACCTACTCTGAACACCTTCAAAAGACATCTGAATGTTTATCTTGCTGGCATCCTATGATCCCTGCTGATTTCCTGTCCCCGAGGCAGGGGGCCGGACTCGATGATCTTCCGAGGTCTCTCTCAGCCCTCATGTCTATGAAATCTATGGATCTAGGGTGGACCTTGCTGTCACCTGGGAGAGCCGGACGGGGCGTGCTCTGCCCCTGGCAAGGTATTCATGTGTCCCCACACTGCCCCCCTCCTGGCCTGTGTGCTCCAGAGAGGACAGCAGGGAGGAAGGGGGCAGCATCCTCCTGTCCTGTGCTGTGGAGGAAGCAGTGACAACCCCCATCTTCACCTGGGAGAAGGACCCCCTTGACACACAGCACTGGTGACAAGCTAACCAGGTACCTGGGCTGGGGGAGTGGTGGCCTGTGTCAGATGCCACTTGCTGTGGGTCATGCACCAGACAAAAACTGTTCAAGGGAAGGAGGCTGGGGCTGTGTGGATGGCAGCCTCCGACCACAGCAGCCAAGCCATGTTGGGTGCTGGTATGGCTGCCCCAGGAGCTGGAGCTGCCCCGCATGACCCTGGAGGTTTCCTCACACTCCCTGGGGCTGAACCTTCATACCAGAACCGTGTCCCCCTGACGGCATGCCTGGGGCTCAACAGACCAGCACGTGGCCAGGAGCCTGCTGCCCCAGGACCCAGTCTGCCACACTGAACATCGACGGGGGAAAGTCAGAAGCAGCGTGATATAGGCTGGCTCAAGGGGCCAACACAAAGCTGCTTTTCTTTACAGGACGGCACAGGGCCATGTCCAAGACACAACATGCCCAGAGTCACGTTCAGGACACAATGTGCCTAGAGCCTCCTGCCAGCTCTCAGGGGACTAGAGTTCTTCCAGGTTTGTTTTTCTCAGACTTGCCCAGCAGGCCTCTGGGTCTCCTCTCTCCCCACACCCAGACAGACTTGCCCCTTCTTCCAGAACATCTATGGTCACACTTGTGGGCAACCAGCGTCCTTCCGGGCATGAGGAAAGAGGAGACCCAGAGGCCAGCATAAGACTTGCAGCCCACACGCACAGCACTCCTTCCTTACTAGCTTCCAAGTGATGGGTGTCCGATTTCTGAGGGGTCCCAATGTTGTTCTGCGCCTCGCAGTAGTAATCCCCCGTGTCAAAGCCGGTCACAGGATCAAACATCTACAGCAGGGAAAGAAGGTACAAGAGACATATGAGCCAAGGCGCGCACACACTCCACAGGAGCCAGAAATCTCCGACTCTCCCGGCGCACATACCAGCTGCCCTGTCTTGGGGTTGAGCTCGTAGGAGGAGTTCTTGAAGGCTTCGCTCATGTTGGGGTTCACGGGCATCTGGATGTTGTTCCTGTACCACTGGAAGGTGGGGGGCGGGGAGCCATCCGACTCCTTGCACGTCAGCTCAGCCTTGTTGCCGATGGTCACTTGACGAAAGCCACAGGCTGGGAGGGGGCCACTGCCGGGGAAGAGGCACAAGTCAGCACAAAGGACAAGGCACTTTGGCTGCTACCAGGACACCCCAGACAGGAATACCAGTATTTGCTGGTCATGCTTAGGTAATGATGGGATGATCTGGTTGGGGCTGGTTGTGCTTTGAGCAGGGGGCTGGACTAGATGTGACCTCCTGAGCTGCCTTCCAACCCTCACTTTCTATGATTCTATGACGGACCAGGGCCTAAACGAGCAGCCACACTCAGCGATACCATGTGGCCAGGCCATTTTGAGTGAAGAGAGCAGTAACAGGCATTCAGGCTGGCCAGTTTCCCAGCTGGCTGCACTTCCCCTGCACTGCTCCAGGGGCATGATTTCACAGACATTAGGGCTGGAAGGGACCTCGGAAGATCATCGAGTCCAGCCCCCTGCCCAAAGGGCAGGAAGTCAGCTGGGGTCATAGGATCCCAGCAAGATAAGCATCCAGTTTGCTCTTGAAGGTGTTCAATGAAGGCGCTTGAACCACCTCCGGTGGCAGGCTGTTCCAGACCTTGGGGGCTCGGACAGTAAAGAAATTCTTCCTTATGTCCAGCCTGAAACGGTCTTGAAGTAGTTTATGACCATTCAACCTAGTCGCCATCCCTTGGGGCGCTCTGGTGAACAAACGTTCCCCCAGATACTGGTGGTCACCCCTGATAAACTTATAGGTGGCCATCAGATCACCCCTGAGCCTGCGCTTTTTCAGGCTAAAGAGCCCCAGGGCTCTCAGCCGGTCATCGTAGGGTCTGCTTCCCTGACCTCTGATCATG